TTTAATCCCACTTTGCACACCCTACTCCCTATTCATGTTACTTGAACAAAATCAGCACTTTAGTAATGAAAATATTAATTAGAAAATAAAAATTTTGATGATTTTATTAAATATGACGAGTCCAAATCACAGACCGCCTCGAAAAACAATTGAGCAGGTTTTATTCCAAGCAAATAGAACTTGTCCTATTCCTAATGGCTAATCCAGTCGGTGGCTCTGATAAAATTCCCACCCACACTAAACTTTTTAAAACTTTTTTAAATAATTGAATTTTTGAGTAAATCAAAAAATTAGTTGACTACACCAATGCATTGGTCAGTGACGTCAGTCAATTTATTGTAATAATAAAATCCCCACCCACACTTAACTTTTTAAACCTTTTCTAAATAATTGGATTTTTGAGTAAATCAAAAATAGTTGACTACACCAATGCATTGGTCAGTCAATTTATTGTTTAACTTTGGTAGTTTATGTCACATCAATCACTCATATCTATCATCAATCACATCACACTCTTTCTTCTACAATATCTCTACAAGACTACAACCAAACAAGAGAATAGGAAACACCAAAATAATAAAGAAAGATAAATCTGTCGCCACTGTAAATATACATTTTGACCGGAAAATGTGTACGAGCTCCGGCCGGCGTGTGGTGGGAACAAAGTTCTTCAAGATCATATTGAACCCCAAAGCAGATCGTATAGTAAGTTGTTTCATAACATTCTATCTTTCTCTTTCTGTTAGTGTACGATATATGTATATTTATACATGTGTTTTGGCTAATATTAGAGATGAGAAGTTGTACTATCACGTTCGTATTTCGCTGTAGTACGTGTCGTCTTCTTTATTAGATTATAAATATGATAATGTCTAAATTTAACTAATTTATTTTTCATTCGTGATATCCATGTCGTGTTTTGATTTTTTTCGTGTATCGTTTTGTATTTCACTGTCTTATTTTTGTGTTAGCTACTTAATTACATAGTAGATATGATAATTTAATAAAATTTAGTTAAATTTGTTTGTTCCGTGCTATTCGTGTCGAGTTCATGTTTTACTATCTGCCTTTTTGTGTTATTTATATTTAGCGTAATCATTTATTTCGATTACATCGTGTTATGTGACTATATAATTGTGTTTGTGTTTTGTGTCGTGTCAATCTTTGTCAGAGAATCCCGCCTGAGTTTACAAAGAGATACGGTCACGATCTTCCGAGCCGTATTTTCCTGAAGGTTCCGACTCGGCCGACAATGGAGGCCGAGTTGACTCGGTGTGATGACGGTCAAACTTGGATACACAAAGGGTGGCAGGAATTCAAAGACCGTCACTCGATCTGCATCGGTTATCTCCTGTTGTTCGAATACGATGGGAAATCCGAGTTTAAAGTCCTCATTTTCGACAAGAGTGCTGTAGAAATAATTTATGACATTAATGGTGTTGCAAATGCGAACATTGATCGAGACCTGCAGACATATTTTTCCACGCCTCTCTTGGATTATTTTGGTCCGGATCATATAATTCCGGTGTCTCATGAATTTATAAGGGGACAAATTGATTTCGTGGATGAGCAGATTTTGTTTGCTCGGGCTCAACTTGAGAAATTCAGCACCATGCGTGCACAATTTGCTGCTCTTGTTTTATCTCAAGCAAAGGGCGACACGCAAGGTTCGAGTGGTGGCCATTGTGCTGATGTGGCGAATGCTGATCGTGTGCATGTTATTTCCGATGATGGTGATGATGATGATGATGATGATGATGATGATGATGATGGTGCTGATGCTGATGGGGATGGAGATGATGGTGATGGTGGTGATGATGATGATGATGATGGAGATGATGGTGTTGGTGATGATGATGAATTGTTTCGAGCTTTTTAGCGGCTAGCTGGTTTATTGCATATTTGCATATTAAGGTCTTTTTAACGTTGCTAGGAAGAGCCAGCGCTAAGTTTTGTGATAGTTGTCATCTGTAGTTGTTATGTTTGATGCGGTTGGCTCATGTACGGCACGTTGTATTTTGTCAAAATTCCCATGCATGCTGCAAATTTTCAGGGCAAAATGTAGTGTTTGCATATTTGGAAACTGATGGTAACCGAGTGTATAAAGCTCGGCAATTGGCGTGTTATGTATATATATGTTTTGTCAAAATTTATATGAATGCTGCAACTTTTCAGGGAAAACTAATATATCCTTGCAACAACTTTTCTTTCTGGAGAATTGCTAGTTTTTATTGTAGTTGCAATTATCTGTATGTCAGAGATATATCATTTGCAAATATATATTTAAGAGTGTTGAATTTTTGGTGGAAATTTTTTTTATTAAAGATGTAAAAGTGTGTTGATTTTTTGGTGGAAATTATTTTGTATCAGCTGTATTTCAGTCAATCATCCAAGCCCGGAATCATGACGTAAACTGTAGGCCCAATAATAAAATGAGACAATATATGCTTCACTTATAAAACATTATTTATTTGAATATTTATACAATTTTTGTTTTCTAATTTCAATTATATTAACTTTTACTGTTTCATAAATGGCTGATTAGTGATAAATTATTATTCTTGATTTCTAATTTTAGTATTTTTGGTTCATGGCTCGTTTAATTTAATTTTATTTCTAAACATTAAAATGAATATAAAAATAAATCTAAAAATCATATCTCCACTTAAGTAAAATATGCAAATGAGGGAAATATTATATAGCGTAGAAGACAATCATGCTAATAAAGGGAAATATTATATTATATAGAGTAAAAAGTCCACGTCCACCCAGTGCAAAATGAAAAGAATAATAAAACGCCCACCGTGGGGCTCGAACCCACGACCACAAGGTTAAGAGCCTTGCGCTCTACCGACTGAGCTAGACGGGCTTATTAGTTTGGAAGAGATAAAAACGTTTATTATTCGCTAATTTATTATGCTATTTTATATATTTGTTTACATGACGTTTTATGTATGTTAGTGTAGTGTGGTTTCTTATTTTTACTGTTTTTTTGTCTTTACAAAAGGAATTTTCTAGGCTATGGTTTTCATTGAGAATCTTCTGTATTCCAGACATTGGAATTAAAAATATGAGACGATAAGAAAATTATGCTTTCACTAATAAATCAGCAAGTACATCTCAACATTTCAAATTTCAACGATTTTCTGTCAGTCAGATTACTAGGTTACTGATCGGATGGCCCCACGACCAAGGTTAGGGGTGAGTAAAATCGAGCAATTTGGTGCGGTTTGTTTGTTTTTAACATAAAAAAAATGGTTCTTCTTTAGTTCGATTTTCTTATATTGTGGTTCGACGCAACCATAATTAATTATTCATAAACAGTTTCAATTTTGTTTGGTTCGGGGCGGTTTCGCACCGAACCGCACAAAAGTAATAAAATGAAGAAAAAAAACCATCCGCACC